TTTATACTACTTCTATTCTCCTCTATAGTCAGAAGTATGATAATGTGACTCATGAAAAGAAATCGGTTAAAGTAGCATAATTATATAGAAGAGGGTAATATGATCTGATTCAGCTACATTGTTGAAATCTCAGGCATTATAGATCGAATTTGACCTAGATGTTAAGCCATTCAACAAAATTTAATTTTTTATCTTGATCAATTTAATTTTTATTAGATTTAATTGATTCTGAAGCGGCAAGAGACAAAGAAACCAAAGTGATGTTGAACGACTTAAAAGTTTACTTAATGAACTGAATCATGATAAAGAATCAACAATAAAGAAAAAAACTTCTCAATATTGATATGTAAAATTTTAAAATTCTTCGGTGTTAAAATGATACTAAAGATAGAGATTTTATATATATTAATAGTTTGTATTTTTATTTAAATTTTGCAATACTCTCTGTATAATGAATACCTATTTGTTTATTTAAATTAATAGAGTGCTTTATTTGACAATTGAAATATTTATTTTTTTAGTTTATCAAGAAGAAGATGGGTTAACAGCATTAGGTGTAGCGGTTGAAAAAAAAATCAGAAATCAATCACAGAAATATTAGCTAATGCATTTGTACATCTATTAAATTCTATTATTACTATTATGTATTATTATTCATTGTGTGTAGAATGTCCCGAGGTCGACGTTAACAAAGCAACATTATCAGGTATTACATCATTATTAATGGTTGTCGAAATTGGTTGGTCAGATATACTTGATATTCTTTTACAGGATGGTGCTATTGTTGATTTAACATACTCTGATAAAAGAGCTGAAGATAAGAAAATAGTTGGTTCAATACCATTAATTGGTGCAACTAAGTACAATAGTGCAAAATGTATTAAACTCTTATTAGCACGTAATACTAATTCAAATCATAAAAATCAATCAGGTGTATCAGTGATACTGCTTGCAGATGAAAAAGGTTATTTTAAATGTCTTAAATAACTAGTACAAGCTGAAACTGATCTAGAATTATCACCTAGGACTAAGAGTAATTAACTTTCATTCTTCAGAAATTTGATAGTCCTTATCTTTATTTGCATTCATTCTTTCTTTCTCTTCAAAAAAATAAAAGTCAGAATAAAAAATATCATCACATCACAAAAAAAGAGAGCCGGTATGCATCGAACAGAGCAGAGAGAGAGAAGAATCACGACCATCTGCTATCGTGAGAATAAAGAGCAAGAATAGAACCTAAAATGGCAAACGTTTTTTGTTTCATTGCACTTCTTTGATGAATCTGCAATGAGTGTAAACGGCTCTGCACGAAAGTTTACGACATCATTTACGATCATCAGATATTCGCCTGGATATCATGAGCAAACAGTTTCTCACCTTCGAAAGAGAATTTTGAGAAGAGGAAAAAAACCATGATACTGTTTTTCCTGAAACAAGCTGAGGCAAAATTACATCGTTGGGCACCGTCAAGACTGAGAAAAATGTGTCCTATTTGTTCGATTGACAAGAAAGCAAAATTGTGAGTCTTTTGGACGAAGAATGTGTCGAAGAACGATAATGTTGGGCGACATTGTTCTGTGAACAAAAGCATCATCATATTTGCATAGCGCGCTTGTAATTGAAGATAACGTTATCTGACTCAACAGCTAGGTGAAGTTTCTCTTGCAGCTACACACGAACTCCATTTCGTAACTTAAGTTGAGATTGATGCACGGGCATTGACATAATTTTTTATCGAATGAAATCTGGAGAAGGCTGAGATACTGTTAAAGATAGCTACATGCAAAGTTCTAAATTCACAAACCTTCTGTCTAATTTATTCGATTTGGAAATTACATTTAACGTCACTTATAACTCTTAACTCTTTCTCTGAAATAATGCAATAAAAAGGGATTTTATTTTAGGTTAGAAGTTTTATTTAGAAAAAGTATTTGAACGAAATGGCTCAAGCGTCAGCAATGGACAAGAATAATTCTGCTACGATTGAACAACCTCTCGGAGAGATTGTTGCCGATTGTACACCTCGCGCTCGACCTGCTTCAAATCTAGAACATCATCATTTTCAAGGTCGGTATTGTCGATTGGAATTACTCACTTCTAATACTGATCCAACAATTATCAAACAACTCTATGATGCCTTTAAACCTACTGAACAAACTCATTTTACATATCTGAAATATGGACCATTCAAGACCGTTGATGAGTTCGTAGACCTCATTCGTACGCTGGAATCGCCCCCGAACAATATCGTACTGTATAGTGTCATTGTGAATAATCGAGCAGTTGGATTTCTCACCTACTTGAGAATTAAAGAATACCAAGCTGCACTCGAAATCGGACATATTAATTTCAGTCAACAGCTGGTGCGTACTCGAGCAGGTACTGAAGCAATATATTTGTTGATTGAACACGCTTTTGATACACTCAAATACAGACGCGTAGAATGGAGATGTCATGCAATGAATGCCAAGTCACGTCAAGCCGCGTTGCGCTTAGGTTTTCAATTTGAAGGTACATGGCTGAAATCAGACATTGCTAAAGGTCGATCAAGAGACAACGCGTGGTACAGTATAGTGGACGATGAATGGCCATTGCTAAAACAAGAATTCCAACGATGGCTGAGTAACGACAATTTTGATGAAAATGGACAACAATTGACAAAATTAAATGCAGCACAAGTCAACCCGCGTAGCAAGAACTTAATGGCATGATCTAGAAATCGAGGTTACATTTCATGGATAATTTATGATCCAGGCACAAGAAAAAAAAACCAATAAAGTAGTGAATAGTCGATTCCTAAAGTCGATTCGTTGTTTTCTCGCTTTAAATCGCAAAATACTTGTTTGATCGCGTGTATTATAAGAGATCTAAGTTGTCTATTTCATATAATATTATCTCCTGATCATACGCGTTGTTTTTCAATGATCAGAAATTGACCATATCGGACAACACCGATGTTTGTTCTTATGCTCAATTCAGAAATGAATAAGAAAATGACTGATTATTTCTCTCGACGTGATGACGAATTTGATTTTAAACAGTTTCAGTTTAGAACTCAATGACTCTATATATGTATCCGATGTCAATAATTAAAATACAACCTACGATCAGAGTGGTTGGATGCGCTCTCGATACAACCCATTTTAGACAAGGAGAGCATACCGTTTTCAAGAGACACATATCTCAGTAAGAGTACACTTGTTCGGTCTAAAACTCTAGTTCAAGAGGTATTTCGATTTAGACTCAAGATTTTTTTAAAATTAGATTGATGCCTATAGCTGACGAACATTCCATGGTCGAGATCGAACGTTCGAAGATTTTAACTGGATTGATTTAGACAATTTTCCGTTGATTGAAAATCTTAGAACAATTATTGTTTCATCTTAATCCTATTGGACTTTTGGTTTATCTACGATGAATGATAAATTTCAATGTATTTACTATTTTCATCTTTGAAACCTAACAAATACATCTTCGACTATTCGCTTTTCCATTTTCATCTCTTTTTTTCTATTGAAATTGAACGAAATACGCTGCATTTATTTGTTAAATTAACTTATTGTGAACATCTAGGCAATGCTAAGCGTATGGTCATACTTCCGTGAACAAAAAAATGAAGAAAAATTATGATTATTGACAATATTCTTTATTGTATGACGCATACTCGAAGCAAAGAAAAAGAAAAAGAATGAGATGAGAAGGTTAGAGCCATGCACTTCAAGATAATTCCTTAAAACCCGAAATGAGTCATGATGACGAACTTCCTATAAAGTAATACGTTAGAAGGGTGTAGGTATGTGTGGGTGCGGGTATGTGTGTGTAGGTGTGCCAATGTAATGTGGGTGGGTATGGCGGTGGTTGTTGATGCTAATTAAGATACAATGAACAAACACCCGCAACCATACCCACACCCACAATCAAAAATACGGATACAAANACTTGCCTACGAGAAACAAAGGAAAGTGCGCCAGCGATTATGCACTGTCGGCTTCACACATAGCCGTCCTTTAGTACGTTCACCGATGGTCTGTGACAGTGCCCCACGAAAATAAAACACTGCCATGTCATTTGACTCTCTTCACTCCATACATTCCTCACATCAAACAGTATCCTTTACCTTATATTGACGTTGATATTAATCGTCAGATGATTCATCGTAATTTGAATCGTTGTTAATTCTTGTATCTTCCAAATTCGTTCCAGAAGATGCATAGTTTCTTTAACCAAGGTTGGAGATGTTACTACCAAGGTCTGCCAGAGTCGCCATGTAACGACAAACTGGATCGAGTAGCTTGTGCCACTCTTGGCAATGATGTTTATTAGCTACTTTACATATCCAGAGTGTCCCCATTGCATATTCAACACACACTTATATATGATAGAGAAACAGAGAGCGACAACAATAGAGAGAGAAAGAGGAAAGAGGAAAGAGGAAAGAGAAAAGAGGAAGAGCAGCGAGCCGTAACGCATGTATCGGCACACCATCATCTATTTCAATATATTCATATTGATTCCGACAAGCTTGCTCCCAATTATACGCAATCGATTATTACGTATGACAGGCGAGGTATTGTTAAAACATTGAGGGTAACAGTAAAATGTCGCTGGTTGGATCTATCACACTTGATTAATCTGCATAAACTAATACTATTGAGACCATCACGAGAACAAAAATCCCAATTGAGAACAATGATAACGTCGACCAAACATTTGCGTCAACTGGAGCAACTAACATTGATCGAATCTGACGATAGTGAATATATTTCACGAAGCATCATGACTGGAGTATTTCCTCACCTGCGTCAATGTCATTTATATCTATGGCACAATGAACAAGTAATACCGATAGAAATCATCTTTGAAACGATTGAAATTTTGAGAAAACTGTTTTTGTTGGCGAAGAGCCGAACTCAACAAGAGAATAGAAAGTGATTCCAGTAACAGCTTTATATGTTTTGTTCCAAATTCAGTTTATTAGTTGATAGAGTGTCATTGAAAAAAAGTCGAAGTTGTACGATGTGATCGAACAGCTCCGTAGGAACATATTAAGAAATCTTCTTCGAGTTTCGTTAAAGGTTTGTTGTTTCATTGTGTCGACTAAGCCTGTTGCCCAAAATTCGCTTCACAATTTGACAGTGATACAACAGCGATAAATTATATTTTTTTTCGTGCAAACCTATAGATATTTTGAAAACAAACTCTTTCCAATCTAGATGTTACTGATGTAGTCTCGGGGCATAACAAAATTTGCTGAAATAAGAATAGACAAGTCTTGAACGACAAAAAGTTATTGTTTGAAGAGGATATGATGTTCCTAGTATTGGCTGATTCGATTGTCGACTGATTTATATCAGCTCTCTTCACTCATGATTCTTGTCTTTTGAACATAATGAAATCTTAACAAGAAAAAAAAAGACCTTTCAACAACGAAAGACTTGACAATTCATCATTGATTTCGTTTCCAGGACTCCGTTTCCTCAATACTCCAATGTGAAAGTCTCCGATCGCTAACACTTGACATTCTGCAAAGTCTCAACATGGCTAGGAACATTCTCATTAGTTTACCTAATGTGACTACTTTTCGTGTGAACACTTTCCATATTTCCGAAACAAGCACTCCGTCGCAGATAATTTCTTATAGACATGATCATCTCAAACATTTTCGTATTTTATTATCAGCTTGGAATGGGTCAATACACTTTGAATACTGTCACAGCATGTTCGATTGGATCTTGTCATTCGTACCAAAATTGACAACATTCTGCTTTTGCCTAACGATTAAACGCTTGGCGATGAATACAGATTCAGCCATTGGTGTTCTACAACTGTTGACAACGATTGCAGAACATCTACCGATTGATTGCCGTTGTGACTGTAACCTTCTATGTGAAACGGGAGAAAGGGGAAAATCATGGGATAGATCCTGTTGGCATACACAAGCAAAATGTTTTATATCAAGGATAGCCAGAATCCAAAGTGGGCTCACT